TTTGATCATGCCGTTCCTTCAGGGCCGTCCCAGTGCCTCCTCTACAGACATGAGGTTGATGCCCAACGTATGTTCTTTCAGGAAGACAAAGAGCACTTTTTGGCCCAGATGGCGTGTTTAAACTGTAAAATAAACTCGGGGTCACCATTTGGCGGCGCAATCTATTTACGCCGCCGCCATTCGCGAAATCCCGGTACATCAGGCTCCAAGATAGGCGGTGTTTGAGCTGCTGCTTTTGCAGGATGGGGCTGGGCGTGAAAACATGGATGAGGTGTCGGGCCCATTCAGTGCAGGGCGATGTTGTTGAAACCAGGGGCAGGTTGCTGATGAGGCGAGATATCCGGCTAAAACCGTGCACGCTGTCTTCCGTTCTCACGTTTGAATCTCGTTCTGCCTCTTGCTTTTGTACCTGTCGCTCATCTGCCCGGCGATCGCGGCTTCATCCTCGCGTCTCATCTCTTAAACTGCGATGAGCGATTATCTGCGGAGATAACGCTGAATCAGCCAGGGTGAAGAGCTTGCTTGCCGGTGGCATGGGAACTGGAGCCAGCCGCAGTCATGTCCATCTCTGGGGACTATGTCGCCAGCTCATCCCAGGCACTGGGTCCCGCTGCAGGCATGAGACATACTTCTACTTTATCTGTGTACTGTTATATTTGCGTCGATGTTGACAAATTCATGCCATTGTATCATAGATTTCAGGCTGAAATTTAATTAGCCTGAATAAGTGGGACCTCTCTCTGTCTCTCAATGGCTTGATCCCAGCAAGTGTTATTTGTGTATGTTGTGTGTGTGTGTGGCAGCTCCCAGGCAGGCAGGCGTCTTGCTTTAGCTGTGAGGGGGTGGAGGCAGCACTTGCTAATATGAGGGTTGGAGATAATTTGACTCAGTCACAGCTCTCTGTAAGCAGTCAGAGGAAGATGTACGAGCTCTACTTTTACAAATACCAGAACATATATATACCTTGAAATCAAGACTGAACGAGGTCACATAATTATTTGAAACGCAATACACTAAACATGCAATCACTGTCTGACACTGCTCAAAGTTGCAAAATTCTTCGAGGATGACGCAGAGGTTGACCAAAGGCGGGGATCCATCAATATTTCACAAACTTGCCTAATCACTTTCCGTAATAATCCAGTAAAACTACGCACTGCGCCATGTTAGGTATTCTGGGTAATAGGATTCTACCTATATCTGAGGGAGAACACAAACATATATGTATAGTTTGGCGGGATTCGGTTTACTGGATAAATGTATGTACCAGGGGTGGATATACTGGCTGGGTCTAATTCTTCTGGAGCGACGTATGGCAGTGATACGTTAACACCGCCGTCGCGCCAGGCATTGATGGCGGTAACAGCAGAACCGGTAATAACATTGCTGTAAGCTGGGCTGAATAAATATAAATGGAGCACATACATAATATACATACATAATATAATCCGGCGCGCATAATATACAACATCTACACACACTTACAAAAACCAACAACAACCACACACACCTTACAAACAACAACAACAGCCATACACACTCTCAAACAACAACAACATCCACACACACTTACAAACACCAACAACTGCAGTACCCACTTACAAGTAACAACAACATCCACACCCACTTACAAAACAACAACAACACAGACACTTTCAAGCAACAGCAGCCACAAACAATTGCAAACAACAACAACATCAATACACACTTACAAACAACAGCAGCAGCCACACACACTTACAAACAACAACAACAGCAGTACCAACACAATAACAACATCATCCACACACCTTAAACAACAACAACATCCACAAACGCCCTACAAACAACAACAGCCATACACACAAACAAACAACAACAACATTCACACACACTTACAAACAACAGCAGCAGCCACACACACTTAAAACAACAACAACAGCAGTACCCACTACACGTAACAACATCATCCACACACCTCAAAAAACAACAACAGCCACACACACTTACAAACAACAACAACAGCCACACCACTTACAAAAACAACAACAGCACTACCCACTTACAAGTAACAACAACATCCACACACCCAAACAACAGCAGCAACACACACTTACAAACAACAACAACAGCAGTGCCACTTACAAGTAACAGCAACATCCACACACGCCCAACAACAACAACAGCAACACACACCTACAAACAACATCAACAGCCACACACACACTTACAAATAACAGTAACACCACACACACTTACAATTAACAACAACAGCCACACACAATTACAAATAACAACAACAACGACATACACTTACAAAAACCAACAACAGCCAAACACATTTACAAACAACAGCAACAGCCACACACATTTATAATTAGGGCCAGCCACATACACCTAGAAGTAACAACAACAAATAACAAACACTTACAAATCACAATAACAGCCACATTTACAAATATTAGCAACAGCCACATAATTACAAACACTAACAGCCACACACATTTATAAATAAGAACATAACATAAGAACATAAGAAAATAAGGAGTCTGCAATAGGCCGGTTGGCCTGTGCATGGCAGCTCCTGTCGAGAGTTACGACGTCTCTCTATTATCCATGAAACTATCTAGCCTCCTTTTAAAACTTTCCAGCGTTCCAGCACTTACTACAAAGTTGCTAAGCATGTTCCACTCGTCCACCACCCTAATTGTGAACCAGTTCCTTCCTATATCCCTCCTAAACCTAAACTTATCCAACTTAAATCCGTTGCTACGAGTCCTATCCTGCTCGGATATTATAAGAACTTTATCTATATCTCCTTTATTGATTCCTTTCACCCTCTTAAATACTTCTATCATATCTCCCCGCAGTCTTCGTCTTTCTAGAGAATGCAAGTTTAGTTTCTTTAACCTATCTTGATATGGAAGGTTTCTAAGTCCCGGAATCATTTTCGTCATTTTTTCGCTGCACCGACTCCAGTGAATTGATATCCATTCTATAATAAGGGCACCAGAACCGAACCGCATAATAGAGGTGCAGCCTCACTAGCGTCAAGATAAAGTTGCAATAAGACCTCTGCACTCTCATTACTTACACTTCTAGATATAAAACCTAATACTCTGTTTGCCTTATTTCGAACATTAACGCAGTTTTTTAGGCCGTAGGTCCGGGCTTACAAGTACCCTAAGTCTCTTTCACAAGTCGACTTCTCTAGGTTGATGTCGTTAATGCTGTATACATTGACAGTATTTGTTCTTCCAATATTAAGAATGCTGCACTTGCTGGTGTTGAATTTCATTTGCCATTTTTCTGACCACTCCTGCAGTTTATTTAAATCCTCCTGTAGTGCATTTGCATCCTGTCCTGAATTAATCTGCCGCCCTATTTTGGTGTCATCCGCAAACTTGCTTATGTCACTGCTGATCCCAGTCTCTAGATTATGAACAAGATTGGGCCCAGTACTGACCCCTGGGGAACACCCACTGGTTAGACAGCCCCACTCAGATTTAACACCATCTACGCTGACCCTCTGCGTTCTATCGGTGAGCCATGATTTTATCCAATTTAAAACTTTCCCCTCGATACCATGAGCCCTAACTTTTTTCAGAAGCCTCTGATGCGGTACTCTGTCAAATGCTTTGCTAAAGTCTAAGTAAATAATCGTAATTTTCGTCATTATCTACTACCTGGAAGACTCTCCTGAAAAACGTCAGCAGATTTGTTAGACAAGATTTTCCCTTTGTAAGCCACACACACTTACAAATAACAACAGCCACACACGCTTACAAACCTCTTACAAATAACAACAACAGCCACATACACTTACAAATAACAACAACAACCACACACATTTATAAATAGCAACAGTCACACACGCTTACACACTTTTAGAAACAACGGCAACAGCCACACACGCTTACAAACCTGTTACAAATAACAACAACAGCCATACACACTTACAATCGCCAGCAACAGTCACACAAACTTACAAACCTCCTACATGTAACAACAACAGCTACACACACGCTTGTAAACAACACTTATTAAGTCAAAGGACAGCATCAACATTACCATTAACTGATCCAACATAACGACAGTCGCTATAACGAGGTTTTACACCAGTTTATATTAGTCAGCTGCCTCATTGAAATTACCCTTGAGGAGAAGGTTCCATATTTACCTTTCCGTGTTTGGGTGGGGGGCGACACTCTTAGTAAACAAGTAAACAATTCACATCTTTTCAGCGTACAGTAGGTATTGGAAACATTCGTGGAAATCCTCATTATCTTAGTCTCTGCAGGTGAGTCAGGCAGAGCAACACCTGTTCTTAAGTTGCCTGTTGGGTGGAGTTCGTTAGGACTCATCAAAGAATATTTCAAATAAAAGATCTACAATAATGACCCATAACGACCTGGTCGCGTGAACATTACGGTCAATGCCATCTGCATCTGTATATATACCGGTACGGAATATGCATGACTAACTAACTGAGTGTATATATCAACTATATAACTCCAGGACGGAAAAAGTCCTACTTGATATAAGGTAAAAGCTCAAGGTCACAATATTATAGAGAATATTTTTTTTAAATTGTTTTATTATGTAATGAACCATAACTCTAATTTACACGTCACATAATTGGTATATTTTAACACGTACTGAGTAATAGTTTGGAAGCACACACACACACTCACATACACTCATTTTAACAAGTATATAGAGATAGGTAGATAGAGAGATAGCTAGAATGTAGAATAGAGAAAGTGACAGTAGCAAATACTGAGAGAGAGAGAGAGAGAGAGAGAGAGAGAGAGAGAGAGAGAGAGTGGATTAACAGGTTTAGAATTACTCTATATAGAAATTATAATCGTGACAGAAGTGTCAGGTCCGAGTATACCTGGTCACCTGCGTCATATCTACACAGGTGTAATGCGACGGTTAATATCTCCAAAATTTATTTACAGAGAGGACTCAGTCATGTATATAAAGACGGGTGGTCATCTGGTTTATTACTTCCAACTGAACCTTCGAACAACCAAGACGAACGTAGTACGTTTTCTGGGTTTGCTGAAGCCTCAAATCACTTATTAGAAGCTTAATTGCAAACATTATACATAAGTTAGCTATCGACCACAGAACTGTAACCAAGAACTCGAAAACTGTGGTTGAAGCATCTGAGTGTTTACTGAACTAAGTGAACCGTTATGTACAAGAGTGAATCTTTGATAATTTATTTTGAAGATCAGATCCGTTCACAGTAAATAAATCAGATAAAATTTTATTATGCTCATGAGATTCGGATCTTATGTGACTTAATCAAAATTCTTGGTTAAAGAGGTTTATGGAAATCTGAAGTGTGTGTGTGTGCAAGCTCGTCATGATTGTGTTTTTAATTACTCTAACAAACAGTATATCAAAATGAAGCAGTAAGGTTTACTTCAAAGGGGTGTCCATAAATGATTACCCTGATTAAAGCATGCTATGACTTTTAAATAGACACTCGTAGTCAAAAACAGTTTTAATCATAAATAGATAAACATACAAAGTTTTGATGCATAGTTAATGAACTTAATAAACTTCCACATGTGCACCCGAAGTGGCAAGTAAAATGTCTAAACGGTATTCACACTCACGCCACACATTTTCCAACATTTGTGGGTTAACTGTTGCAATTGCATCAGTAATTCGTTCTCGCAATGTCCTGATATCTGGAACAACTGTTGCATAAACCAAATTTTTAACATGACCCCACAGGAAGAAATCCAGCCGGGTAATGTCTGGTGATCTTGGGGGCCATGGGATTGGCCTGTCCCTGCCGATCCATCGATTTGGAAATGTTGCGTCGAGAGTTTCACGAACAACATGTGCCCAATGAGGGGGTGCCCCATTTTGTTAGAAGATGACAGTTGGCTGCCTGTCCTGCAACTGGGGGATGGGGTAATTGATGAGCATATCCAGGTACTTATTTGCGGAAATAGTGTTCTCAGCAAAGAAGAAAAGACCAATTATCCCGCCCTGCATTAGTCCACCCCAGACATTGGTCGTCGGACTGTACCCAATATGCTCCTTTACGACATGTGGGTTTTCCGATCCCCAAATACGCACATTGTGTCTGTTGACTGTACCACTAACATGAAACGTAGCCTCGTCTGAAAAGCAGACACGTAACAAGACGTCATTATCCTCGTCAATGCGGTTCAAAATGTCATTAGCGAATTGTTCACGTTTTGGACGGTCATCGGGCTTCAGTTGGTGAACAATTTGTACCTTGTAGGCGTGTAACTTCAAACGATTGTGAAACACCTTGTGCACTGTAGACTTAAGTATCTGTAGTCGGCGTGAAGCTTGTCTCACCGATTTCCTTGGTGACCGTGTGAAAACAGTTTGAATGTTTTCCACCGTCCCACCGGAAACTGATGGTCCACCACTGCTCTTTCCTTTTTCCACGTTTCCCGTTTCCAATAATTTTGTCATCTACGACTTAATTAACTTCACATTAGGTGGTTTCTTTCCATACTTTGTTCTGAACATTCACTGAACACTGACAGGAGATTTTGTTTCCGCAAGCAACACAACACAGTATGCCTTCTCTGTCACAGACGCCATCTTAACTGAACTGCTACTACAGCACTCCTAGCGGCAAATGCGGTAGAAGAAACACACTAGCACAGAAACTCTAGGCGTGTACGAGATCACCTGTTAAAAGATAACGAATGTAAGATTCGTCATTAAACATGAGAGCCTCCAATTATAGTGATACATGAATGCTTCCGTACCCTGAGTGTCTGCATTACGAAGGTGGAAATATACCTTCACCGTGTGGAAGAAGTGATTATGATGGTAATAATAAATAATTAATTAATTATTAATCCCATCATTAATATTTACACTCTCGTTTCTGGATTTTCAGGATGACGATTCCGAAGATGATGATGATGATGATGATGATGATGATGATAATGGGTGTGGGCGTTGGTGTGGGCATTGCAACTGATATGGAAGTGGGTTCTGGCCCTCCTAGGCGTGCTGACGATGGCGTGGGCGTTGCAGCTGATATGAAAGTGGGTTCTGGCCCTCATAGGCGTGCTGACGATGATGTGAGGTTAAGATGGGAGGAGGAGGACGTGTTAGGTGATGTGTTCCGTCAATCGTCTACGTGTACCTCCCCTGTGTCTATTACTATGGCACCAGGGACTAGAGCCATCGTCGAGTCCCCTAACTTCCCCATGAACTACCCTACTAAGACGAGGTGAGTGTCTCTCTCTCTCTCTCTCTCTCTCTCTCTCTCTCTCTCTCTCTCTCTCTCTCGTGTACTAAAACAGACGGACCACCAAATGTATTAAAAAATTATATCACCCACCACCCACTACACACCACCTCCCCCCTCTACAGGTGTCAATGGCAGGTTACCTGTGGTCCCAAGGTTTCTAATTACCTCAAGATGAATTGCCGCATGTTCAAGTTGGAGTCCTCAACTGGCTGCCTTCACGATCGTCTTATTGTAACTTCCAAAGGAGCTTCAAAGACGTGAGAGTATTGTTGTGTTGTGTTTTGTTGTGTTTGTTTATTTGCGTAGATCAGGGGTGTCAAACTTAATTGCCAAGGCTGGCCAGATTTAATATGAGTACACAGTATGCGGGCCAAGTAACATTATTATGAGCACTTCGCAATCACCTCTTAGGTGAGTAGTACGACAAAATAAGAAAGGTGGATGTAGTCTGCGCTCGTGCGAAACCCTTAAAAACAAACAAATCAAGTGTTTACTTACCTTGATCAATCTTATTGTTTGCTACTGCTGCTTCCTGATAATTGGCACCTCTTGGTATGGACCAGTGCATCAAAGTTTGGCACTAACGACTGAGCTGTAGCAACCTTCAGTATTGAATTAAGGTGCGCATCAGTTAGTTGAGACCGAAGCCGAGACTTGTTCAAGTTCATCACAGAAAAGAGTTGTTCACAGATATATGTACTTCCGAACATTTACATAATCTTTGAGGCAAAACATTTAATCCTGGGATAATTTGGTCCAAAATATTGATAGAATGTGCCAACATCAACACTCGAAAACTTGTTCCTCAACACAGAATCACACTGGAGCTCAATTATTTTATTCAGCTGAGGGATACACACACTATTTAGTTTTAGCTCCTCAAGGTAAGGCTGGAGCAGCAAATGGGCCGCGGGCCGCATGCAAGAGTGTGTCGGGCCGCATGTTTGACACCCCTGGCATAGATGATGTAATGATTTTTGTGTTTGGGCTGTTTTTATTGTTCATAACGTTCTAAATAATAGTAGTGTTGTTGTCGTTGTTGTGTTGGTTCGTATTGTTTATTCTAATGGTTAGTGTTAATGTTTTCAATGTGATCATTGTTTTTGCTGCTTTTTTATAATCTGATAATTGTTATTATTATTATTATTATTATTATTATTATTATTATTATTATTATTATTATTATTATTATTATTATTATTATTATTATTATTATTATTATTATTATTATTATTATTATTATTATTATTGGTGTTGTTATTATTGTTATTATTAATAGCACGCATCATGTGTATGCCCAGGGACTGAAATTCCAACTGGAATTTTATAATTGGCCAGAGAACATCAATGTAGAGATAGAGAGATAGTGATGGGCGTAAGAGAAGGAGAGATAGGGAGGGAATTGGAGGGATATTATATATTCAAGAAGTCCCAGGAATAAATGGAGGCGGGAAAAGGTCGATGAAAATATGATATAATGAAGAATTGATTATAGTAATACGAGGTTTGGGAAAGAAAAATATCACGGACGAAAGAGAGATACAAAAGACAAAAAGTTATCAAAGAGAAAAGCTGAATATGGATGAAATTATTAAGAGAAATGTAAAATATAATTGTCTAGTTAGGAGACACTGAAGAGAAGTCCAGATTATAATAGAGCCCATATGAGCTTGACAGTCCTTTAAGTTCCCATTTGCAGCTGGGTGGACTTGGAGTACCCCGGAATCGAATCATAGACCCTTAGGACGGGAGACGAACGTTGTATCCACTCGGCCGCCGCGCATCTTGAACAGTAGTGGATAAGAATGAGCGAGAGAAAGTGAGACGGGAAAAGAGTGAGAGAAAACTGAAACCTAATCTGAGAAAAAGCATTAGAGAGAAAGGTAGAGAAATAGTGTAAGAGTTAGAGAGAGATTGAGATCTAAAATGAGAGAGAGAGGGTAAGTGGGAGAAAAATCAACAGACAGACAGATAGACAGACAGACAGACAGACAGAGATAGATAGATAGATAGATAGATAGATAGATCGATAGATAGATAGATAGATAGATCGATAGATAGATAGATAGATCGATAGATAGATAGATAGATAGATAGATAGTTGAATAATGAGTGGCACTTATCTCAGGCACTGTGGCACCGACTCCCCGAATGGTACCGTCACCAAGGAAGGCTGGGCGAGATTTACCTTCTCCAGTAACGGTAACAAAGTCGAGAAAGGTTTCCGCTGTTTCATCTGGTGCTTCCCCCATCCTACCACGACTACCACGACTACCACGCCTACCACGACTACCATGATTACCACGACTGCTACTGCTACAAGTTAGGTGACTGGTCTGAAGTAGGCTATGACAAACACAACTTCTGGTGTTTACTACTAAAATCAGTAGTACACTTGCTGAACACAACTACCACCACTATTAACATTATCGCATTTCAACACTTACTCCCACAACTACCACCACCTTGAACACCAACACCACTTTAGCCAGCACCACTATACTTACTATAGCCATCACCATTTGATGATCTATTTAGAACTGCTTCCTCAATTTTCATGTTATGGACTAAAACTAATAATATCTCTCTCTCTCTAGTTGTCTCTTTACTTTTCTAATTCCGTGTCTGACTCTTTGTTTCTCTCTCTCTCTTTCTAGTTACCTGTCTCTGATTTTTCTTTATTTTTCTGTCAGTGAATTTATCTCTATCTCTCGCTTTTCCTATTTTTCTATTTCGGTCTTTCTCTTTCATTCTCTCTCTCTCTCCATCATTTCTATAATATTACGTTATTATATTTAGAAAATTCTGTAATATCATTCCTACCATAATTTACCATACCATACAGGGAAAAAGGGAGGGACATACAAAATTACCTCTGCCCGTCTCTCCATTCGTCCGAACAATTTTATGGGTCGGAAAGAATTTTGGTGGACAGATTCAAATCCTTATTATTTCGGCTCACTTCGATCAATAGCTGTCTATGTGATTATATGCCAAATTTATAGCTTCTGTTTCATATAAAAGCTTAGATGTGGAAACATTATGGAAACTGAGTCATGGGCACTGTTTCATGTAGAAGGTTTAACTGGAGTAAACATCAGCTACAGGAAGTAAGTAGTTAATGAGGCAGAGTATGTGTAATCGCTCATAGGAGCGATTTTGGGTTGTGCAGGACAATAAGACCCTTGTCGTTGACGCGATGAGCATAATTCGGTCAAAACCTGTTGAATACAATTCACATATAACAACTGCCGGTACATCAGGACACATAGTTTGAATAATACGATCAATATACAGTACATAACCTGTTAAATATAACTCACATGTAACAACTGCTGATACATCAGGACATGCAGATTGAATAATATGATCAATATACAGTACATAATTATACTTATTAAAGTTATTTAAAGTTCTCAGAGGATTCAACAGTTCACAATCACACTCACGTTTTTGGGTCTAGGGTTAGACCAACGAGAACAAATATAATATCCTGCAGGAAGATGTTGGCTGATGAGAATCAAGATTTTGCCTCTACAGTAGAAGGCGACAGTCTGCCCCTCAGGCAGTCACACAGCTGCCACCAGCTCCATCTCGCTTAGTAAGCTATTCTGAGTTGTAAACAGTTTCTTCACTTAACATGTTGCAGGCGCGCACAATTGTGCATGGCGATAACAGTATGTGTTGAGAGTAATGATTGTTAGTACAGTATTTCAACGATGTTGGTGTCGAGACCCTTATTCCAGTTCTCGTCCTCGGACATCTGTGGCCTTGGATTTCTGCTCCAGCCATTTCGAGGCTGTATATTAATTTTCAGTTCAGTTGAAAGGGAGTTGTTGGTTAAGTTTGAGTCCAATTCACTATCCATACCACTAATCCACCAGAAGTAGGGATTTTCTGGGTATTGGTCAAATTTCTTAGACAAGGTGACCCATGTAACAGACATGACTCCAATGAAGTTCTGGCAGCAGAACAAGGTTAAGTTTTCATCACTGGTCAATCTGGCACTGACCATCTAACTGTGCCTGCCTCTAATGTTCCGGTTGAGTGCGTATTTACCCATGGGGGATAAATAATGAGACCCCATAAATGCTGTACACCTACAAATGTACTAAGTAACTTCATGCCTCGGAATTGTAAAAACACTTCTCATGTTTTAAATTGATGGACAAATAAATTACCTGTATATGACCAATGAACCTAATGTAACAGATATGACCATAAAAAAAAAATAACAAGTAAAGTGTGTATATTTAATCGCTCATTTATATATATCATGAAATTGAAAAAAATATAATTGGCTCACATGTACCCACACTAGTTGGTAAATATTTCTGTTTTAAGATAACACTGACCCTCCATCATCCAAGGATTTCAACCATACAAAAAAAAAAAACTATATCAATTGGGAGCCGAATGTTTTGAGTAAATGTATCCAAATGGTATAGAAAGACGTAACATCATCCTGAGAGTTATCAGGTGTCACGTAATTTATCACGTGACCCATTATTGACGTTTAACGGTTTTCACCCACTTACGCCATGGTGCTCCCTGTGGAAGAGCGTTACATCAAGAATGCATCTTTAGGAGAAGATCAAATTGCAGTTAAAAGTCGCTTTGGTAGTCGTACGAAACCAGCCAGGTGTTGTTACACCGGAGAAAGAGGATGAAGTGCTGGAAAGAATGGAAGCATGCCCGAAAAAAAAAAAACGTTGAGACGCTTATCACAACAAGCACACTATTCATATTCCTGAGCAAGGAAGGTGGTCAAGACACTCAAGCTTTATCCCTACAAAATTCATGCAGTGCATCAGTTGCTGGAGTCAGATAAAGAGAAATGTGTAGCCTACTGTGAGTGGCCTCAGAGGTTGGTAAGAGACCAAAATAATATTTTGGATGTTATTTTTTTTACGTGCAGTGCACGTGGAAAGGTCACTACATTCCCCGAAAATTGGTGTTTAGTGTGCTGTAAGTCAACAAAGAATTATTGGCTCAATTTTCTTCTCAGTACAGAAACTCGAAAGTTACATCAACATTATACTTGAGTTTCTTGGGCACCTTACAGAAGACAAAAACAATCAAGGATGGTTTCAGCAAGATTGTGCCACGAGTCACACTTCGTGATAGATCATAGAAGACCTTAGGCTGTTCTTTGGTGACCGTGTAGTGTCCAAGTCATTGAGGTCACCTTGATTCCCAGATCTTAAGGTTCCAGATTTATTTTTGTGGGGATAGTTGAAGGATATAGTATTTGCTACAAATCCATGCACCCTTGGTGAATTACCAATATAGAATCAGTGACACAATCAGCAATATTCCCTAAGAAATGCTACACTCTGTCTCGGAGAGTATGCTGCAAAGTATAAATGTGTGCCTGCAACATGATGCTGAAAATCTTGAGCATTTCATTTAAAGAAATGAGGCCACCGTTTTAGTAAGGGCACAAGCGCCACATCGCCCGAAATCGAGTAACCACCACGGCAAATTTCAACAAGTTTTTCTCAATCACAATGTGTGTCGAATGTGCCCTTCTTAAAATATTCTTATGGCCTAATAAGCAGCAAAAATAAAACAGATTTTCACCCTTCCTGCATTTTGCTAGCGTGGGGAAGTGCTGGATCCTGGTAGCCAGTGAAAACTCATAGCCAGTGAAAACTCGCGTCATGTCTCCTTGACAGCCTGCATCAAGCCTGACTCATGAAACGCAAAGACAAGTTCTCCTTAAAGGTCTTTAACTTGTCAGCTGTCTCCCTGCCTCCTAAATATGCCGCCCCCATACCCCTGTAGCAGGAGAAACTGCAGGTTCTTAAGGACCTGGTGACCTGCATGAGGCCACCGCAGTAGTACGAGCACAAGTGACATTTTTTCTTGAAAATAGAGAAAAAGGCGAGTAAAGTTTGGTAAACATTAAAATGTAAGTATCTTGGAATCAACCATTTGATTTTCATCTAGTTTGCGCCATTTTCAAGGAAATTTATCGCTCTATTAACTGGCACAATTTCATATCTGCATTTTAACTTGTGCCTATGCCACAACGCAAAACGTAAGGCATGGTGTTTTGTGATTCTTTGTTATTTTTCAAGATTTTGACTGTTTTACCTTTGAAATCTAAATTTATCCATCTACGGCATAATAACATCATGTAAAATCATAAAAGACCTCATAATAATAGCATATGCATAATAGGCATACATAAAATAATAACATGTAACATCATAATAGACATCATAGTTTGCCATAATAATGAAATAGGCATAAGAGGCATATGTAAAAATCGAAAACATCATGTAAGTTTGACTGTTACCTCTAAGATCAAAGTCTATCCATCAATAGCAATAATAACAACATGTAACATCATAAAAGACCTTATTGCATAATAATGAAATAGGCATAAGGGACATACATAAAATAATTGAAAAAACGCATAGCGAGAGAGAGAAGAAGGTTCTGAAGGAAAGGGAAGATAACAGTAGTGTTAATGTAACACTCACCAATATCTTAAACTGTTCTCCGTTCTCCGCTCCGGAAGTTATGTAACGTGGAGGGGGGCGGGGGGCACGATCTTAATGGTAATCTAGGATCATGTTAAGAGCATCCACCTCCACAGCCCCTTCTGTAGGGTCGTCCACATCCTCGTCTGGTGAATTATCAAGGTTCCCAGCCCCTTGCCTCTCAATCATGTCCTTGAAGTATTTGGCACTCTCTACTGGGGAAAATCATTTATGCAAATTAATAGGTTCCTAACTGATATAGTATGGGAATTATTTCGGATTCTCGAATAAAAAATATATCCTGGTATTATACCTGTTTGAACCGACATCCTATTTCTTGACCAGTAAAATTATCCTTAAAATTTGCCTCATGTACAGATATATAAATAAATGCAGACCTGATGACTAGTCCCTCACTTGAAGTTAACTACCAGGATGCTACCTCAGAGAGGGTGGCTAAGCTTTAGGTGCTTCATGAATATTAAAATCGTGGATGGTCTCCATCTCAACTTTAAATGTTTTGGTATCGAAGGTAGGTCTCAATTTTGGCCTTGGTCTCAAAATTAATGGTCCCTCAGTATTAAATCTTTATGCTATAATTCAGATCAATATTTGTAGATCATTGGAATCATTGGGGTCATGAGTTATGAGGTGAAAGAAGATTATTGGGGATTGAAGAAAAAGTAATGAAACTGAAATACAGTCGGAGTAGAAAGAATCTGGTCTCAACCAGATCGCTTCATCTTATCTATTGTTTTTGTTATCTTTGTTTTGCTCCCTCTGGTCGTCAGACCTTTGTATTAGTATTGGTTTATTTATATAGTGCTGCTTATTATACTTCTTACTTAGCGTTTTCTTTTTTTTTCTTTTTTACTGTGATGGAGTTAGTGAGTCCTCCCAGGTCCCTGTGCATCATTTCTCCCATAGTTATTTGATTATTAGATAATAAGTTATAGTCTATATATTGCTTTTGGGTGATTCTATGTATGCGTCTTCCCATTTCATCTTCTATCCTTTCTTCGTGTTCACTATCAAAATCTTCATTTTCCTCATCTGATTTTGTTTACAAACTTTTACCCATTCCCTTTTGAATGCTGACTCTTGTTCATTTTCCTCGTAGTTTTATTCCATTATGGTCTTTAATGTATGGTGTTTTTTGCTTGTTATGCCCCATCATCTTGTTTATGGAAGTCCAAAATGTTTTTGTGTCCTTAGTCTTGACGGCCGCCATTATAATATCATTCCACTTTTTGTTGTTTGCTTCCTTACCTGCGTCTCTTAATTTTATCTGTAGTGCTGTCTGCCTCGTATATAGCCATCTGTTACTGCCGTGTCTTTCCAGATACCTGTTTATTTCATTGTAATGGGTTTGGAATTTAACTTCTTCTGTTAGTCTATTGTTGGGTAATGTTCTGAAGTGTGAAGTAGGAGTGTGTTTGGTTATTGATGTTTTTATTGCTGAGTGCAGTCTGTCCATTTCTGAGTCTATGTCTTAAGTTGTTTTCCCTTGTAGATTAATCGAATGGTGATTACCTAAGTCTTCTTTGTAGCTGTCCCAGTTTGTTTTGCTTATTTTCAGTCTCTTTTTTATTGGTATCTGTATGGGGCTTGTTGACAGTGTAAGTATAATTGGTAGATGGTCACTGCCTGTGAGAGGTCCTTGTTTTATATGGTAATTGAAAAAGGCTTTGTTGTTGGTAAAAAAATTATCTGGTGTCGA